TTCATTGCGTGAACAAAAAATACTGAGATGTTTCTCAAATTATCTCCTTTTATGTTTCATAATTTATGTTAGGCCCTTGTAGCCTTAATGTTTATGTGTAATACAGTTTATGTTGAATCAAATAAAATATTTCTTTATAAAGCTGCTGTTTGCAATGTCTAATTGATACTTTCTCATTTAACACAATAATAGCTTTAAATAATCTTTTGTGGGTATTTTCACAGCCAAATTTAGTTTGCGCACCATGTAATTAATTTGATTAAACACTGTAATCAACTGACAGCCCTAATCTTATTTTGATCTGCCGATACTCATCTTCACAGTGTATCAACAATGCAGCGAGGAGCTCAGGAATAATGCAGTCGCTGGACCTCCCCGATAAAACCCTACAGTTCATCCGAGACCGCCCCCTCATGGATGACGCCGTCCGACCAATCACAGGCAAGCCCCTGCTGCTCAAGAGTGGCCCGCTGTTGACCCGCCTCGTCGTAGACCACGTAACTGCATCAGACGGACAGTCCTATCCTGTGATGTTTGTCGGGACAGGTGAGACTCCCATTCGCCTCTAGGGCAGAGCAGCTCTTTACTGTCGGTTAGAGGGTGTGTGTGTGTGTGTGTGTGTGTGTGTGTGTGTGTGTAAACAGTCCTTCACAGGAATGTTAATTGTACTTTGGACTGAGCTGTTTAAATTACAACCTATTGAATTTGTTGTTTTTACGTTAAATAATGTTGAAAAGCTGGATTTTGTAATGCAAGTCAATTGTTTTCTGTTTTCAATCAGAAAACGGTTATGTGCAGAAAGCAGTGAACTACGATGGAGAAATGCACATTATCAAAGAAGTAAAACTGTTTCAGAATGCTGAGCCAATTGACGTCCTAAGACTTCACCAGAATCAGGTACGCAAAACTGGGACTGTGCCTAAACTGTGAAAACATGTAAAACATGTGCCAAATCGGTTGTGCGGATCACTCCGCTGTGGCGACCCCCGATAAAAAGGGAGCAAGCTGAAGGAAGAGTGAGGAAGAGAGAGTTATATTTAGACTCACAGACTCTCTGTTTGATTGGATTCTGATTCATTTGGGTATTATTCAGTAATAATGTCCATTTATTTACATATGAAAGGAATTTTCTCTAAAGGGCACTGATTCAAATTTCATAATTTTTAACTATAAATTAAAAGAACTGGCTCGTATGAATCATACATTTCGGGAATTGGGCTACACTGATTGTGCTGTGTGTTTATGATTCACTAAAAAGAAGCGGTCAGTTGTTAATTACTTGTTAAAACTACATAGTCACATGTATTTTGTCATGTTTTGTTTTGAAAAGTGACGTGACATGTGACCAAGTATGGTTACCCATACTTGGAATTAGTGCTCTGCATTTTAACCCATCAAAAGTGCACACACACAGCAGTGAACACACACCCAGAGCAGTGGGCAGCCATTTATGCTGCGGCGCCCGGGGAGCAGTTGGGGGTTCGGTGCCTTGCTCAAGGGCACCTCAGTCGTGGTATTGAAGGTGGAAGAGAGCGCTGTACATTCACTCCCCCCACCTACAATCCCTGCCAGACTCGTAACCTTTGGGTTACGAGTCCGACTCTCTAACCATTAGGCCACAACTTCCCCATAAAAGCTTAAACAAAATGACAAAGGATTAAGTAATGAGTCATTTTCATATAACTTGATTATTTTTGTAACAATTCTAAGTGCCAATTGTTAGAAAGACAAAGTGGAGGAATATTTTTTTGTTGCATGTTTATCAAGAAACAATGCATGAATCAGCACGAGTTGTTTGTTTTGTCCAGTTGTATGCAGGCTCTGCATCTGGGGTTGTCCAGATGCCCGTCAGCAACTGCAGTCATTATTCTTCCTGTCTGGACTGTGTGCTGGCCAGAGACCCTTACTGTGCCTGGGACGTCCCAGCCCAACGGTGCTCTAGAGTACCCACATCACCTGAGGACGGAAAAAGGTAAAGCACTCACACACAAGTACAATCCCATATCAACGAAAAATTGCCAAAAACTGTTTGTTTATTGATTTAACCACTGTTTTGAATATCTCAAATCTACTGGACTATATATATGTATAAATAACATATACTGACAGTTAACATCAAACCTTTTGCATTTCAGCAATCTGATACAAAGTCTAAAGGACGGGGACGCCACTCGATGCCCAGCAATAGGTATTTATCATCTTTTTTTCTGATTCAATATTAAAGGAATAGTTCATTCAAAAATGAAGATTTGCTGAAAATGTACTCACCCTCAGGTCATCCATGAGTTTGTTTCTTCATCAGAACAGATTTGGAGAAATTTAGGATTACATCAGTTGTTCACCAGTGGATCCTCTGCAGTGAATGGGTGCCGTCAGAATGAGAGTCCAAACAGCTGATAGAAACATCACAATAATCCACACGACTCCAGTCCATCAATTAATGTCTTATGAAGTGAAAAGTTGCATGTTTGTCAGAAACAAATCAATCATTAACACGTTTTTAACTTTAAAACCGTTGCTTCTGGCCAAAATACGAGGCCGCAATCCATAATGACACTTCCTGCAGTGAAAAGGTCCATCTGTTGTCCTCTCATTTCAAAATCCACCCACATATTTGTTTAGAACCGTTTTTGCTTGTAAACGGAGCTTGATCTGTGCAGATTTCTCTCCTGATTCAGCCTACGCGACTTTTTCACTGTAGAAAGAAATACTATAGATGGGGGACTCATATTTTTTCTGCTTCACAAAACATTAATTGATGAACTGGAGTGGTGTTGATTACTTGTGGATTATTGTGATGTTTTTATCAGCTGTTTGGGCTGTCATTCTGACGGCACCCATTCACTGCAGAGGACCCATTGTTCAAAATTTCTCCCAATCTGTTCAAATGAAGAAAAAACTCATCTTGAATGGCGCCGCTTTTAAAATCAGGGTTATATTTAACATATTTTTTCTCTTCATCAGCTCCCATGGAACCAAAGATCCGCAGCCTAGTGCTGGGAAACAACATAAGGTTGCTGTGTTATCCAGACTCTAACTTGGCCCAGGTCAATTGGAACTTTGCTGGAAAGCCACTTCCCTACTCAAACAGGAAGTATACTATTTATAACGATGGCATCCTTATCTACAACGCCTCTGCCGCTGATGCAGGACGCTACACCTGCACGTCAGTCGAGCGGGTGAAAGGGAGAGACTACACCCAAACGCTGGCCATTTATGACTTGCGTGAACAATCAGCAGTAGTTGTGACAGATAAGATCAAGGCCACACTGGGAATCCTTCCTGAAAGCCACACGACATCATCAGGTTTGCATAAATCCGAAGAGCCTCCATGGTATTCAAAAACTGTGAGCAGTGAGAGTAAATGGATAGTAATGCAAGTGGCATTGGCCGTGCTGTCAGTTATGATGGCATGTCTGCTGATCTGGAACCTGTACATGGGCCACATCTCTCCATTTATGTGCTGTGGGAGGCAACTAATCAAAAGCCCCAGGAATCTTCCAGAAAGGGAATACATGCACACAGGAAATGATGCTGTGGACAGTAAACAGCAAATGGTCAGGTTGTGTGTCACAACGAACAGTGCTCTAGAAGACACTAGCTTCCACAGGAATACCACCAAAGGGGATACGCCAACGGACGTTTGTGTTTTTAAGTACATTACAGACGAGTCGGAGATTTAAGATTTGGATTTTTTTTTTTACATGATAATTTTGTATAATTTTTATACTTATTTATTTTTATTAATAATAAAAAAATATTTTTTTTTGCATAATTACTGTTTAAAATGCAATCTAAGTAAGTAGAATTAGAACTAATTGAAATTCAAAGAAATGCATACATTTTTAACTTGAAAAGCAAAGTTTGTCAAGACAATGTTCAGTTAACATAGTTTTGTTAGAAAATGTAGGTACATTTGAAAAGACAATTGCTGCCCTATTAAGGTAAACATCTTACCAACTAGTAGCTGCGTCCAAAATCACATACTGTTTGAGTAGCTATTCAATTTAATAGGGAAGTGCTCTGCAACATTCACTGTCAGTACCTTGGCCTAGATCGGAATTTTTTTGGTGCTGTAACCCGGTGTTGTACTCAAGTACACATTTCTTAACAACTATGTCTGTTCTCTCTCTGTTTCACCTCAATTAAAGGGATCGTTCACCCAAAAATGAAAATTACCTCATGATTTTTCAAGCTTTATAATGGCAGTGAATGGGTGCAGAGATTTTGAAGCCCAAAAAAGTGCATCCATCCATCATAAAAAGTACCCCACGCGGCTCTAGGGGCTTAATAAAAACCTTCTAAAGTAAATCGATGCATTTGTGTAAGAAAATTATCCATATTTAAAACTTTATAAACTGTAATCTCTAGCTTCCGCTAACTGTCGTATGTGCGTTCAGGAGAGAGTGGTGTTCCAGTGGATGACGGAGGACACAGGTGTAGCGTGAGCTCCGGTGAGAATATGCTAGTCTCGTGAGAACATAGTTTTCTTAACAAATCCTCCTTTTTACTTCTAATTCGTGACCGGTGTTTTGTTTTGCTCTCTCTTGTGCGCTTCCACGTTCATCTACATCCTACGTCATCCTCTGGAACGTGAACGCACTTACAACGCTTACACTTACAACAGGAAGCTAGACATTATTATGGTTTATAAAGTTTAAAATATGGATATTTTTCTTACACAAACACATCGATTCACTTCAGAAGGCCTTTATTAACCTGCCAGAGCTGTGTGGAGCCGTGTTTTTTTTTTTTGATGGATGCACATTTTTGGGCTTCAAAATCTCAGCCACCATTCACTCTCATTATAAAGCTTGGAAGAGCCAGGACATTTTTTTATATAACTCCTATTGTATTGCTCTGAAAGAAGAAAATCATATACACCTAGGATGGCTTGAGGGTTAGTAAATCATGGGGCAATTTTCATTTTTGGGTGAGCTATCCCTTTAATACTATGATTTTGGACATGCTACTAATTTCGCCTACTATATATTAGGGAAGTATGCATATTTAGAAGCAGGGAGTGACAACAATAAAGTCAACTTCATTCTGAAAAGGAATGTTTTTATTGAAAAAATGTTAGTTGGAGAGCCATTCTGGTCACATTTTAGATACAGGATTGTTAAATACTTTGCCTACACGAGGCCAGTCATGGAACATTTCAAAATCAGCCTCCTTTGGCTCGGTGGAGGGAGATCTTAAACGAAAAGTAATAAAGATCAAGTCACATGTTCATAATGAGTGCCTCCTGCCAACCGCATTTGTAATCCCAATGCTCCAATACGAAGCACAATGATTACTGTAATAAACCCAGGAATAATTGCAAAGAAATACATACTTAGAAGCCAGTATTAAAAATAGCACAGGATGTAGACCAATCGACCAATAGAGTTGTAGCACTTAAGGGAAATTCGAAAGCTATTGGTTCACACATGCTTAATTTGCATGAAGAATTAAGGCGGTCTTCATTTCGAAGATGTGGAAAGCTTTAAACAGAAAAGAAAGCAGGCACAAGATGTGTTTGCAAGAAACATTCTCAGTCATAGATCTTAAAAAATCTGCAATGTTTTGTTGCAATATAAAAAAGGTGTCATATGCAAATCATACTATTTACAAAGACATGCATGTGAGTCTTAAAAGTTAGGGAATAATTACCCAAAGTTTGACATGAATTGCAGAAGCACTGATGTGGAAATGTGAGAGCGCATTTCTCAAGGTAAACAGAAAAGCTGCCATGATTTAGAAAAAAAAAAAGTTACTCTTTTAAAAATCACTTTCCCTGAAATGGTAATGTGATTGTACGTGATACAGTGATACGTATGCATTTGTATTCTACACAATTCAGTGATTTGATATGCAACTATTCTGATTTCTTTCTCAAACAATTCAATGCAATGCTAAGAAAAATCAAGGCTCAGATGAACTGAGATGAATTCATCAACGCAAAGTGTCCTTTTTTGCTATTTTTATACTAATGGTCCATCATTTTGCTGTCTGTTTGAGAGTAGTACGTGTTGAGAGTTTTTAAAGGAGCAGTTTGATAATTTGGCTTGGTTATTGGCGTTTTGTGAGAATTTGCACCCAGGAAAGTGGTTTGACATTTTCGATCGTCATTCACATTAAATTAGGTTTCTTTAAGGAGTGATTTAACATTAGATCTTTTTGCTATATTAAGAAAAACATTGTACAAAAGCAACGGAACTATTCACAAGTTCGTGATCTGGCCGAAGTGTTTTCTTGGGGCAAAAATATTGGGTAATGTCCCACTGCAAACTGCCCCTTTAGAGTTAAGACGAGCAGAAGTGCTCTGGCTCCATCTGTAGTTCAGAAAAGGTATCACCAGCTCTCTGGGTAATTGGGCACTGCGGCTGGATACTGGGGCAGGCTGGGGCCGGTTTCAGAGATGGCGTTGAATCCGGCTTCTCTCACAGGGGCGCTTTTCCACGCGCCCGTGCTCCATTCTTCCTGTGCCTGCTGAAAACTGCCTCCTCCACCGCGATACAGTCGATGAACCTTTTAGAAGACAAAACTGATGTCACTTTCATTTTTGGTTTAAGTTTAATAATTTACTTATTAAGGGTTGTGTGTGTGTATGTATGCAAATCATACCTTGATAAGAATGAACACCATTAGAACTGTATCTATGGTAAAGAGCAGAGTACAGATGAGCATGAATATAGCCGAGACTACATTTGTGCCGAAAAACATCACTGTGGCAATCCAACCACTGCAAAAAAGAGAAAAATATGGCGAGTTAACATCGATGGAAGTAACTGATATTCCCACTCAAAGAGTGAATTCATTGAATCAGTTAAGCTCAATCAACAAGATTATTATTACAAATAACTATCAAAAAGTAGTCAGTGAGATTTTTTAATGTTTCTGAAATGAATTTCTTTTTAATGTCTCTTTCGCTCGCCGAGGCTGCATTTATTTGATCAAAAATACAGAAAAAACAAGAATATTGTGAAATATTATTACAATTTAAAATAACTGTTTTCTATTTGAATATGCTTTCAAATTAAATTTATTCTAGTGATGTAAAGCTGAATTTTCAGCATACTCCTTACTCGTATACATTCTAATATGCTGATTTACTGCTCAAGAAACATTTCTTATTATTATGAACGTTGATGTTTTTTCTGGAAACTGTTATACATGTTTTCAGGATAATTTGATGAATAGAAGGTTCAAAAGAACAGATTTTTTTTTAAAAATAGAAATTTCGTTTTAAAAAATCTTAGTGACTTCTTAACTTCAAAAACGAAATGGTACAAGGGTGTGAAGGGTTGAAAGGCCAAAATGTGAAGTTCTTATCTTTTTTTACTTCATCATGACACTGAAGTAAAAATATAGGATGTAATCCATCAAATTAGTTGCAAATGAACATGTATAATAATTAGGTTTTGTATAGCTGTTCTACAAAAAAAGAACTTTTTATTTTATAAAAAGTTTATTCTGTGCATCTTTTGCCAGGTCCCATGTACTTCTATTTTAAGGGAGCTAAAATAATTTGTGGTAATTGACATTAAACCACAAATTATGTCAACTGAACTCAAATTGAGTTTCATACAAGGGGTGGCCAAGGCTACTTCAGGGGGTTTATAGACAATGAAATAAAATAACCCTAACCTTGCATCGAAGGAGCATGAATGAATCCAATGATTGCTGATTAGAGGTAGAAGTAGGGCTGCACGATTAATCAAACGTGATTAATCGCGATTGTCATGCACATTTTGTCAGTAAAGCCGGTTCTGTGATTAGTAGTAAATCTCCATCACCTGCTTTCAGGAGGAGCAGCATTTACTACACAGAGCCGTAGTTCACTGACATGCTATGCAAAATCGCGTTCATAATTGCAGACGATATAATCGTAGGATTATGAAATCGTTCTGTGATAATGACAGCTGTTTGCGCATCTTCTCAGTGAACTACGGCTCTGTGTAGTAAATGCTGCTTCATCTGAGAATTTACTACTGATCGCAGAACCATGCTTCACTGAAAGATACGCATGACAATCACAGCTTCTGCCTAATCGCGATTTATTGCTTTTGCGATTTAATTTCGATTAATTGTGCAGCCCTAGGTAGAAGTGATAAATCACATAACCATGAGCTCTTTAACATGACAGATAGTGAAGTAACCCTTTCGGACCACACATTAGCTGAACATTCCTATACTTACGACACGAGGCTAAATTTGGAAAGATACTGTCTCTTTCTTATGTGATTAACTGTATTGGACAAAAGGTCTAAAGTTAACTTACACAGTGACTTAGCTTTCATTAAAGTTGTTCGGGAAACCTAAACCTGATGGTAACCCACTTTCTTCAAATAGGCTATGAACACTATGTGGCAAACCAGACATGTTCTCAGATTCAAGGAGACGGACCAAAATCTAGTCACCATACAGACAAAAAGTTCATCTCAAAAATGAAAAAAAAAATAAAAAAATAAAAATGGCCGTTGATAAGTTCAAATTGAAAAAAAATAAGGGCAATCTAATCTATCTTCTTCCAAACCTGTATAAATTTCTTTCTTCTGTTGAGCACAAAAGAAGATATTTTGAAGAATGCTGATAACCGAATGGTTGACGGTAGCCATTGACTTCCATAGTATTTTTTTTCATACTATGGAAGTCAATGGCTAACGGTAACTGTAAAGACAGAATTTTAATTTTTGACTGAACTATCCCTGTACGGAGTGTGACCCCCTTTAAACTTATTCTTGCAAACAATATTAATATCCTCTTAACATTCAACGTTAACGTAGATTAACAGCATGCCGTGCGCTGCATGTTAAAATAAATATTTCTTTCTCAAGAGGTGGAATGAAATTTCATCAAAAATATCTTAATTTGTGTTCTGAAGATGAACGAAGGTCTTACGGGTTTGGAACGACATGAGGGTGAGTAATTAATGACAGGATTTTAATTTTTGGGTGAACTATCCCTTCAAATACTGAATATCCTAACATTTAAATGTTACTCACCAAGCACCCCAACCAGATATTCCAAGACTCTGGATGAAGGCAAGAACACATTGCAGAAAGAAAATGAAGAAGAATGCCATGAAGTTGAAGGAACTATCAGCCCTAAAAAAGACAAAACCAGTTAAATCGAAGTGAAAACCTCAGCATCATTTGTCCTTTCCCAAAATGGACTCCTTACCGAAATGCTTTATAGAGTGGCCTGAACCAGCAGGTGTAGCTACATGGGCTGAAAACCAGCAGCCAGAGGAGCGCAAACCCAAAGTTGACCGCTCCACCCCCACCGGCCCACCAAGCTATGCAGGCCACCACATTGACGCATAGTGTGATACAGTACACTGAAAAACAGAACCGTCAGTCATCAGGTGCTTCAGTCAAACTTTGGAAAATCTGAAATCGAACTATTCACAGTAAAGGTTAGGCTACATTTCTTTACTCACACATCCAAAGATTGTAAACACGACGCACAAGCTGCTGGTAGGGTTGCGGGATTTCCTCAGTCACGTTCTGGTAAAAACATGGTTTTATGCGAAAAAACTTTGGCAGAGGGGGGAAGTTGTTTGCTCGATCTGTCAGGCAAAAATGGAAATGATTCATTTGAATCAAAGCAATAACAGGACTCCAAAAAGTATGGACTATTGTTTCCAACACAGAATAAAAAAATTAAAAAGGTAATCTCACAATTCAGAACTTTTTTTCCTTAGAACTGCGAGATATAAACTTGCAATTCTAAAAAGAAAAGTTGTGAGAAAACTCGCAATTGCAAGAAAAAGTCCCAATTACTTTTTTTATTTTGTATTTTGTGGCAGAAACAGAAAAAAAGAATTGCGAGATGTAAATTCAGAATTCAAGGAAAAAAGTCAGAATTGCAAGATCTAAACTCAGAATTGGAATATATGCGTGTTTATTTATTTATTTATTTATTTATTAACTTTTTTGTCTTCCGATAAAAAGCAAATGAAAACAGTGACATTTAAAATTTTTATATGCCAACCAAACTTGACTTACCCGTCATTCTCAATTTTGAGAAAAATGTTTATGTTTCTTGTGCTAGTGAACTTTTCCCTCTCTGGACTGATGAATTGAAGTTTTCAGTGCTAAAAGAAATACAAATATCGTTATAAACAGGCAAACATTCCTAAAAAAAATATAATCAGCCTTGAGATCACATCAGTTGTTATCACATTAAGCAAAATGATACATAACTGTTGAACACTACAAGCCACATAAGATCATACCAGTTGTCTTTATATAATATAAATGCTTATTTTGTATTAAATATGTGTTGTTGTTTATAACAATTCTATATTAACGACATTTCACAGTATTAGTGACATTTGAAAACGCAGTACAGGCCAACAGCTAACGTTAACCATGTCCAACACAACTGAAAAGCAATAGCCAAACTATACAATCAGAAATACTATTTCATGTGCTTAAGAGAAAAACGACCGCTTTAATAATACAACAAAAGCTCAGTTTTATATTCTGAATTATACGATACCTGTGCACCGCTAAATAGTTTGATGAGGATGCGACTGCAGTCCGCATTGAATCCTGGAAATCCCGTGGCGGACTAGCGTTCTGGTGCATTATGGGAATTGTAGTTCTAAAGGGACCTGTTCTGCACGTAGCGGACGGAAGTTGTAACTGTTAAAGACTACAAGACCCACTACAAGATGATCAAAGGTGCGGTCTCGTTGCTTGTGACTAGATAATTTACCAGTTTCCCTGCCTTGTGGCAATGTATGAATATGACACCTTTCTGTTGTTTTTGGCAGAAGCTTGTGAACATTTTCGTGCTTTTGGATTTAAGTGTATCTTAAGGATCTTTCAAGGACTTTTGCGGAATTACTGACGTTTGTACGTTTGATATTAAAATATTAATCTTGAAATGTGTCAAGCTTCTCAAAACTCTCTTGAAAAAAACACGGACTCCTTTTAAGTTTTATTTAGAAAAAAATACTTTTTTCTTTAAAAAAAAAATACTTTTAAATTCTTAAAAGTGCTTTTCGGTCAACAGAAACCCTCTAAACCAAATGTATAAATCAAAGCAGTTACACGGAATAACTTTGTGACTCATTATTTTTTTTAACCAATCCTATTCGAGGATCACACTCACTGTCCAATCACAGGCTTTGTCAGCACAAAAGGCACGTGTTGCGAGGCAGAGCCAACCGTGACAGCCAATAACGTGACTCCTCGTTGCTGTGACGCAAAACACCGCTGACCAATCGCAGCCTGCGATCCAGTCGCGCAACAGGCTCCCGCCAATTCTGAGCGGGGAACTAGAGGGAGTCTGATCGGGGAAGAGACGGGAACGACGGGACCGGGATTACACACAAAAAAACCACAACCTACAACTCTAACACTAACAGAAACCCAGCGAATTCGCCGTTGACACGTTAATGTTATACCTGGGAAAGACGTGGAGTCGATGACTAGCCTGAAGGAGCTGTGTACGGAGTCCAAAAAAGCGCTCCCCGTTTCTGTTTAACGTTTCCAGCGCGAGCGCGGATGGTGGTCGTGATGCTCGCGGGCGAAGAGCCTTTGGCCTCCACACCACGAAGAGGTCTGGTGTTTAATGGGAAATAAAACTGCTTTAATGCATGATTAAAATCGATATATAGGGAATAATACAGTAAATAAAGCCAATGAGCTCATATAGGTGGCTAACAACAGATAAGAGTGGAAAAACTCCCTATTTTACCGGATATTACTTCTGAAATGGTTTTTAGTTTGGTCTAGTTTTTCTGAGAGACGATAAAAATGTAACTTCGATGGCTTTCAAAGCATCATTTGGGGTTGTCGAGGGTTTTGGGATCATAATTAGCATGTTAGCAGGTGAGCTCAGATTTGTTATTGACATTCTTGTTTTCTGCTCACACAAAGAGTGACTTTCATTACGTGTAATGTTGATTTTTTTCCTGTATTCGTGCGGGTTTATCGAAATAAGTCCCGTTTATGTTGTTCTGAGCTCAGTCTAGGTCTTTGTTCCTCAGACTTGTGCTAATGGATGAACTTAATGTCTCCGTAGTCACAGGTTCAGTAGCCAAACTCACAGTCGCCACAGGCCTACAAACCATCATTCGCTGAAAGGCGGGAGATCAAAACTAAACATACGTGTGCATTATTTTAGCATTAACGCCTGCATTATTTTTTTTGGAAGTTTGTGCGCGCTCTGCGTTTTTTATGTTGGGGCTTTTTGACATTTAAATAGTTTAAAGTTACTACTTAACCTCGAAAATCAAATCTTTGGGTTCGATGTGACTGTCAACTAATAGTTAGCATGCAGTGGTAGCAGTTAACATACCTACGTTTTGACGAGACGTACTTTGACAACGAGTATTGTTTTGCGTTGACTATTGAGTTTAACGATGCATTAAATTTAATCTCAGATTAATTCCATTTGCATTTTTTGTATTGCCTCTATTTGCCTGCATATGTATTTCTGAGAGAGAATTTGACCTGAACAAACTCTTTATATATTTCAGGCATGGATTGTGTGGGCAAAGCTAATGCCAGCAAGAAGCTTGTTCAAGGTAAACAACTTAAGTGTTAATATCATTACTGCTGATTATAAGAATAAAACACTAAACCATTTCCAAATATGTTTTACAAAGTAATTCTTATAGTGTCACTGTCTTTGGGCTTTATTAGCTTTTAAAAACACTTCAATTTATTTATTTTTAGAAAGTGTTTTCTTTTCTCATGTTGATATTACTGTACTGTTGGGTGGTGGTGATTATAAAGCTAGATTACATATTCCCAGTTTATCCGTAATGTAAGATAAGAATACATTATAAAAAAGATGAAGTCTTAAAACCTTATCTAACGAGTAGTATTTAAAAAAATCTTTAGTTATATATATCTTAAATTAAAAAACCCAAATGTTTCTCTGATTGTAAGACTGACAATCCATTCTTTTGTTTCTGATTGGCTGGAATACAGTACATGACTTTTGCCCAGATTTTTGCCTCAGTCTGGAGGAGTTGACAGATTTCACAGAAAATCTTTTTTTTTTTTGCGTCCGAAATTATACACTATGTGCACTCCAGTCTAGTGTATGAGTTTTATAAGGTAATTTTGTCATCCATCAAGTCTAATAGCTCCTCTCCTAATAGCTATGTAATTGAACCTGCAGCCACTGAGTGTATAAAGTTTTTTAAATTTGAACCTATAATTAGGCTAAATAGATACTTTATTCAGGTATTTAAAGTGCACTTTTACTTTCAGTGTGAACCTATTAATTGCACTATACTAAAAAAATGGCAGAGTATAGTGCGCAAGTATGCAAATTGGGATGCACTTTGAGATTCCATCCAGAAGGAATGTGTGATTAATAGGGATGTTCATTTCGGTTAATTTTCCTGACCGACAACCGCTGCTCGTTATCCGAATATTAACCGTGAACTGAGAAAATTAGACTAATAAATTAGTATTAAATAAAAATTAAATGGACAACCATCTGTGATGATACATAAAAAATACAAACAAATATTTTATTTTAACGTGCAAACAGCAGCATGCAGAGCAACAGCAAAAACTGGATTCACACATTCTCAAATTATCACGCACCAGCATCGCTTCTGAGAACAGAGAAAATCAGAATAAAATAATATAAATAAAAAAGAATAAAATAAATAGGCCTGCCCTACACTATATATATATATATGTATATATATATATAAATTAAATACTTATCTAATTAAGATGACAAAACTAAAACATGAACTGAATACTTCTGTGCACTTTGAAGAATGGTACCGGTCTTGTTCTTCCCGTCAGATATAAAAATATATAGCAGGCCTACCTCAGTGTTCAACCGGTCTAGTTTTTTTAAAGTGACATGTCGACATGCTGTACGGCTAGACTGGAGCGCTGCCTGCTAACTGTTAGATCTGCGGCAAAAACACCATCACAAAAATCCTGTCAATTTGCGGTTCAGGACTTTTTATCGTGGTTTTGCAGTGTTGAGCAATATAGCCAATCACAGACATATCTGATGATTTCATTAACGCAGTGGCCAATCAGAGGCGGTTAAGTTATAATACACTGCGAACTCATTAAAACAAAGAAAGTGTACTTTTTATTAACTTTGTGAGATCACGATGAACTACAGGAAGATGAGTGATAGCTTTCCTTTGATAGTAAGGGGAGCACCTATTGCCCACTTTCTAGGTTATAATCCATTCAGAATTTGAATATACATTCACTCTCTGATAACCCAGAATTGCCACTTGCCATTGTGTTGCGTATACTACATCAGTTAACTAAGTGAAGGTGAAGCAGGTGGTTGCTCAGCGAAATATGTCTATCGACATACGCCCGTGAGTAAACAAATAACTTGTGTAGCCTATAACGTTATATATATATATAAGTGCTGTCAAACGATTAATCGCATCCAAAATAAAAGTTTATGTAATATATGTGTGTGTACTGTATATATTGTGTATATATATATAAATAAACATACAGTATATATTTTAAATATTTACATGTATATGTTTATATAATTTATATTATATATAAATATATTTAATATACAAATGTAACAAATTTTTCTTAAATATACATGCATGTGTGTGTATTTATATTTACATAAGTATACACAGTAAACAAAAACTTATTTTGGATGCAATTAATAGCAATTAATCGTTTGTAATAAATAAATTAATCGTATATATATATTTGTAGAAAAAAACCGTTTAACTGATAGCATTAATCTGTAAAAATTCTTACTGTCGGTTAACGATTAAACGGTCAATATGAGCATCCCTAGTGATTAGTCAAATTTTATTTTGACTTTTACTTCCAACAATTATGATAATTGAGGTAAAACAGTTACTTTGCCGCATTCCATTCCACGCAACTTTTTTTTTCTTCGCTGCAGTGTGCTTTCGTTCCTGTCTAAATGGAAAGATTTAGTTCACCCCAAAATTAAAATTGTCATTAATTACCCACCTTAATGTCGTCCCAAGACTTTCGTTCTGCTTCAGAACACCAATTAAGATATTTTTGATGAAATCCAAGACCTTTTTGACCCTGCATAGATAGCAATTCACCTGACACATTCAAGGCCCAGAAAGGTAGTAAAGACATCGGTAAAATAGCCCATGTGACATCAGTGGTTCAACCTTAATTTTACGAAGCTACGAGAATTATACGCTACTATTTGTGTGCAAAGAAAACAAAAATAACTACTTTTTTCAACAATTCTTCTCTTCTGTGTCAGTCTTCAACACGAGTTCATGAGAGTAACACTATTCATGCGTGTGATGCTCCTGAAGCAGGAGCCTGGTGTTCTGTGCCTGGTTTAGCAGAGTAATTTTCATTTTTGGGTGAACTAAAACTTTAATGTTCAAATCAGTTAAATGCAGTCTATTATTGCTAAACTACGAGACATGCTTGATACACAGATCCCCAGATGTTCAGTGTATAAAGCCCAGCAAATGTATGAGGTCTAGCATTTTATAATCTTTTCAGATTAACTAATAGTGTTGCCTCCCTACAGCACGTCTACCTTTCAAAAGGCTCAACCCAGAACCCAAGGATTGCAATGAGCCCAAAAGAAC